GCAGTGCTTTCGGCGCGACGTTAAACATTGTTCTCCAGTACACAACGAAACGCTGCCTCCAAGAAGCGAGCTGTAGCCCACATGAGCATCCATAGAAGGAGGAAGAAGCCACACCGCTATTGATCGGAATCAGTAGCTTTTCGTGAGTCGCTGTGGGCCATCTATGCCATGCGCGTCACCCTCATTCCAAACAACATACAGCTCACCAGCCTCATCTGTGTTGAACCCCCTAATAGCTCAGCATTACTCAACCATCACGACAAAACGGGTTTTTTTTTCAGAACCACCATAAATCTGTAAAAGAGTATTTTTTGGACATTTGTCAAGATCATCAATCAGATGTCAGTTCCCATTTCAAGATAGAGCTGGAATTAAGGCGTAACAGTTTTTGTAAACAATTACTTCTTTCGATAATGTCTTGATAGTCAAGGCTCTCCCACGCAAATCAACATCACCATCAGGTAGGGTAAGACTTCCCTGTTTGCGTGGGCGTGTCTTAAATTCCTAAAAATCATCGAGAGAAGTCATTGTTTACAAAAGCTATTACGCCTAATTTCAGCTCTATCTAGATATGTTTAAATCTAACATACCATGTACTTAAAGGCATCATTGGGGGTGCAATTTCATAAACCAAAGTCGGTCGCGGCTTGATCCAGAGATGATGGATTTTAATTCTTAATACGCCAATCGATAGGGATTGTTTGTACGAATGTGTTAAAATTAACTTTTTTTCATTTTTCAAAATGTCACTATTGCAAATTGCACGAATGTGCAACTGTTGCTATGATAATTAAAATTAAAAACGATTTCCCTAGCACAGATTTCAAAGTTGAATTCGATCCGGTCTCACCAAACGGTGTTTATTCAATCACCGCGTGGTGAGTGGTGGTGTTCTTCAGTACACAACGAAAGGCTCCCCGGAAGCAGCGAACTGCAGCCCACATGAGCATCCATAGAAGAAGGAAGAAGCCACATTGCTATTGATCTGAATCAGTAGCACTTCGTAAGTCGCTGTGGGCCATCTATGTCAAGCACGTCATACTAAAGAGCATAAACAGAGAGAGCCCCGCTCAAATTCCTATTTCAACACCAAACTCAAGCTCCTGCTGCAGTTAACAAATAAGATTTATTATATAAGACCACGTAGTTCTACGTCACAATTGCGTACAACCAGGGCTGTCCCTTGTAGTTTTTTTTTAAATGGCCTACTACTCCGAAACGAGCAAAGACACATAGAAATTTCAAACGTCAGTTTTATCTGGATGACTGGATGAACTTCAACGAATTGACTCTGAAAAGCAAAATGCTTTTCTTGAGAAGAAATCAAAAGCCCAACGACGGGCGAAGGCTAAATTTGAAGCTGAAAAGTTGAAAGCAGCTATCAAGGAACGAACACGTCAAGAGGCATTGTTGAGATAAACTGAACACGTGAATTTGCAGAAGATGGAAGATAAAACGGTCGACCAAATAAAAAAACGTCAGCTGCGTTACTAGTGGTGCAATAATTTGAATTCTTCGCACTCATAATTTTATCTTTTCCATTCCTGGTTAAATGAAGATGTTTAGAAATAAAATACAGCAAGGACCCGATTTTGTCAGCCTCTCTTTTTGAAAATCTGTTCTAATATTCTACGCATGGGATTTTTCAGTGATTTTATTGCACCAAAGTATACCTTAAACATCCATCTTGAATGTGAATGAGAGAGATTTGAAATTTCGAATATGTGAAATAATTGAGAGATGAATGTCTGAGGGGCTGACAAAATCGGGTCATTACTGTAATATTAAAATAAAATATGCAACCAATTTCTGTCTCAGCTTGTTGACAAATGCAAACATTAAACTAAGGAGTGTCGAACCAGTTGGTGCAGAAAAGTCGGGTAAATTAAGCTATGGAAATTAGAAACAAGAATATGTTGTTGCTAAGCCCATATCATGGTATAATAATGGGTTTCTAAATTTTCAACCATATTCTTCATTAAAAATGCATCTTTAAACCGAATTCAATATTTTCGAGTTCTTCATCCATTTGATTTTGCTGTCTTAAATGAGAATTCCACTCAATTCCAGTACCATTCTGCCTTAGTGTTGTGGAGTGATCAATTAGCCCCCGTATTACGGTACCAATATAAATTAACAGGAAAATAAATGTTGCTGGCGTCCATTTTCTTTTCGAAACAGTTTTCAGCACTTGAACTCGACAAAATGTACGATGGTATACTTCTTACTTTCTACCAGGGTTGCTTCCACTCACTTGCTATAAAAACATATTTTTCGGGATTATGCAATCATTAGATGATATAATGATATGTTGTACTTGTAAGTAACAAGAAGAAGGTTTAAAGTATGTGTTTGACTCATAAAACCTGTCAATTTTGCTTTCAGAGCGTCACAATAAGCGATCTTATGATTCGTGAGCGTTCACTCAGAGTGAGCACTCACTAGTCGTAACATTGCTGATTGTGACGCACTGAAAGCAATATTGATAGAATTTGTATGTCAAACACATACTTCACGTCTTCATATTGTAACTTACAAGCAGGCTTGGAAAATCATTTACATTCATTTCATGCAATCATTTACATTCATTTGCCTCTAACTTTTTTCATCAACAGCAATCCGCAAAATGGTGTATAGAGCTTTATTAGGTTTTGTTATTAGCTACAACTTCTGCCCATAACTCAAATCTGTATCTCTTATGCATCACGAATTAGAACAGGCAGAACTTGTTGCTGTTTTTCAGTGAATGTAAATTACATTCACTGAAAAACAGTAGCGGATTCTGTTCGCTCTGGTTCGTCATACATAAGAGATACGGATTTGTAGTTAATAACAAAACCTACAAAAGTTTCATACATCATTTTGCGGAATTCTGTTGATGAAAAAAGTTAGGGGCAGATGAATTCAAATGACTGCACGAAATGAATGCAAATGATTTTCCATGCCTGTTTACAAGTACTAATTATCACTATACCATCTCATGATTTCATAATTCTAAAAAACCTTTTTTTTATAGCAAGCTAGTGGAAGTAGCCCTGTTGCCACACCATTGAAAAGTATTGAATCAAAAGAGGAACAGTTAGTGTCATGCGTGTAAACTGAACAGTCCTTACATGTTACGTTTCTGTACCATTATTTGGTTGTCATGCAATGATCGACTTGATTTTAAAAATATCTAAGGTTGTACTTGACTACACCAATAGATTGAAGTCATCCTAAATTACGTACCAATTTTACACTGAATGATGAACACATACTGTAATACAATTATTAGTTTTAGAATAAAACATTCAACCTTGACGTTTTCTTGACAGAACTAAGTTGAAAATTATATTAAACTAGATCAGTATGCATTAAGTTTAAGAAATACATCATTCATTGATCTATGTACAATAAATATGAATAACAAACGGAGTTCCTGCAAAGCCACCACACGGTTCTCATTTAGTTCTGTCGTAAAACTCGACTCGTAAATTTTAACGTTTCCACCACCACCCTATGCATTCACGAGAAAATAGTAGGAAAATCGACAGCGAACAAACAAAACTCAACCGGCTAAACATCTCACCAGACGACGTACAATAAGGGAAGTAGAACAGCAGCAGCCTTTCCTAACACTAACCTGTCGTTTGAATAATCATCCCAAATCCACGATTCGGGGAAAGTTTTCCTAACGACAACCTCATTCACAGGAGCAGCTGCACCGGATATCCGATCAATCGATCCGGATAGAGAAGCCATTGCTGCAACTGGAACCGCTTGAGGCATTGCCATCGCATACATCGGAGCACCCAAATCCGCCAAAAAATATCCGTATTCTTGTGGAATAAAATACATTAGAGCTAAGGTAAGAAAACATTCAACTACATGTGGTTGGAAATCATTCTACAAATTCACCATTGTGCTGTATACCTAACAGTGATCCTTTCCCAGGAGGGCAACGTTTCAAAACAGGTAAATTAGTCAAAAACCACCAACCAAGTGGACCGTGTGCTCTGACTTTTCATTCAACAGAAACCGTAAGGCAATCTCACCTTTCCTCGTTTAACCCTTCCCACAGCCAAGCGTCGGGGAAAGTTTTCCTAATTGCGATTGGCTGAACGATCGATTTTGAAAAAGTAGCTGCATCCATTGGAGACTCATGACCTTCCATTGTCAATGTTTTACTTAATGTTAATGGAAGCATAAACACGTTCGAACTCACAGTAGCCTTGGTAGCCATGCGGAAAATCATTCCAGCTAGAAGAAAGGCGGTTAGAGCTAGAAGTAGACAAGAAAGGGTAGGCTTTTCTAACCTACCGAGAACCGAAGAAACCAGTTGATTGGTTAGCACTACATGTCGCAAAGGCGGAAATGTGGGTTAATTGACACATCAGAGTGGGAAGGGAGATTGAGGTTTTGAACATACTCCGAAAAGTTTTGCCATATCCATGATTCGGGAAACTGTTTCCTAACGGGGGGAGTAGTGGTTTTACTAGCAGATGGTCTCATCACATTCGTCGAAGTGTAAATGGCAGGGGTCGTACTTGTGATCAGTGGAGTTGACACGATTCCCTGCTCAAGGTAAGCAATTTGATACTCAAATTCTGGAAGATGTTTCATAGATGTGCAATGCAAACATAGAACGTGATCATTGTGCACTCATTGAGGTGATTCCTTGCAACGTCTTTCATCGCATTACACTTCGCAATTTTGCAAGTCAAAATATTAGGGTTTTTGTGAATGCACTTGGCTGAAACTACTACGTTCTTGTAGTATTAGCAAAATTTACTGATTTATAAACGTCGTAAATCTTGAGATTTGACTTTGAATTTGCGAATTATGATAAGAGAATGGACTCTACAAGGAAACACCTTGATGGACGATCTTCCTTTCTCATGGGGAACCACTTTTATGGACGAACGTTGATATTTGTACTTACTCACACGAGAGCAAGGGAGGATTCTACTGAACATATAAGATTAAATAGAAAAAGGATGTGCAGTGTTTTCTTTACTTACGTGGCTGTTCATTGGCATTGGTCATGATAATTGCTCCAGCGTCCTGAAAAATACAAAAAAATACAATACTTTGAAATATGATCGAGCTCATCACAAGGCTTAGCTATCTCGTTGAAGACAGCATATCAAGAACACCTACAGCATCCAATGCACAAATATAGTTGCGCCTTTTTTTGCCTTTGACCGGTTAGTGTCTGTCGCTTAGCATTTGAATAAGAAAAAGCGATATTGATCTGCTGCCTTCGGATTGAATGGATATAAAGGATACCGATAAGCCTAATACTAAATTTATCAAGAAGTCTCGAGTGCGGTGTTTATCTCGATGAATTCACAGATTCTGTGACAAACTTTGCAGCAGAAGCATCAGAAAGACAGAATGCATTGTAGGAAACCAATAGCTCTAGGCAAAGCGGAAAACACGTGTTTACTTTTCCAAGATTCTCATACTTCCATCCTGGGATGTACCGGGATTTTGACATTTCTCGGAACTCCAGAATTTTTAATTTGAGACTCTTTTACTCCTCTAATTTGTTTTTTTTTTTCGAATATCTGCAGCAGGATTTGAATCCGGAACTTTCACATCTTATGAAATGTATCTGTTCCCATCGCTTGCCATTTACTTTGATTCGAAAGCATTGCACACAAACATCATTTTGACGTAGGACTACGTCTGTGGTTTACGCATCAATGGCAATGCGACTGATGATTTTCAACAAGAAACTATTGAAAAAGTGGTAATGTCAAGCATTGTCCAATGTACAAATAAAAAGTGATAATTTTATCACTGTTTTCATGAAATAATTGTTCTTCCCAAACCCAGTCGTCATAATCGAGTTACATTGGCGTGCACAGGGTGGGGCAAGGTGGGGCAATTGCCCCACCTTTTATAAATAAAATTTTTATTTCCATATTTACAAAGTTATGATATAACATATGTTGATTTCTTCATAACTTGATTTGAAGATAAAATTGCGTTTTATTGCGTCAATTCCATTGAGATGGTGCCTGAAAATTGCACCACAAAGCTGCATGAAGTGATAAACTTCAATGAAAGTTTTTGGTCAAAAAATTGCACCACATTTCTGGTGTAATTTTTTTTTTCAAGGTTGTTCATGGAGGGTTAAAAGAAAAGGGTAAATTTAAGGTTAAAAAAATTCACCTTCGTGATGGTAAATCGAAGAAAAAGCTTTTTATTGAATGTTTCTAGTGTAAAAATATCATCAAGGTGGTGCATGGAGGGACTAATCAAAATGAATAATTCTGGTTCTAAAATTGAATTACGCTAAAAATTTGGAGGTGCATATTTAACTGAAAATTTCTGGTGGAAAGTTCGGAACACTGATTCACCACAGTAAAGCAGTAAAAGCAAGATTTATTAATTTTTCTGGTGCATAATTTGCATCGTTCTGATGAATGCAAGCTTCATTGAAAAGGTATGGTGGAAAATTTGCACCATTCTGGTGCATGAAGAGGCAAAGCCTGATACCCCGGACAGACTATGGCTTATATCATGTAATATAGGCTGGCTTGCAATGAGCACTCATACATAGGATTTCCAGTGAAAACTAGATGTATGAGTGCTCATTGCAAGACAGCCTATATTACATGATATAAGCCATAGTCTGTACGGGGTATGAAGGTGCATGGTGAAACAAACTTCACTGACAATATTTGGTGCACCGTTCTGGTGACTGGAGGAGTATGCTCTATTGAAAATTTCTGGTGCAAAATTTGCATCGCTTTGGTTAATGAAATGAACAGAAAATTTCTGGTGGAAAACTTGCACTAGTCTGGTAAATGAAGGCACAAGCTTTATTTAAAATTAAGCTAAATTGAAAATTTGCATCCATCGCATCCTTCTGCTGAATAGAGAAACAAATTTAATATCGATTTCTGGTGTAAAATATGCACCATTCTGGTAATTGGAGGGAAGCTGCTTTACTGAAAATTTAAGATAAAAAAATCCGAAAATAGGGGCAAACTTTATTTGGTGGAAAACCTGCAACATTCTGATGATAGGAGAAGCCAATATTGAAAATGTTTTGTGGAAAGTGGAAAAAGGAAATCTGCACCAATCAGAAGATTGGAGAAGCAATTTTTATTGAACATTAACGGTGGAAAATTTGCATCGTTCTGGTCAATTGAAATTTTCTGGTGTAAAATTTTCTGGTGGTAAGTTTGTATCGAAAATTTCTGGTGTAAGATTTGCAACATTCTTCTGCATGGAGGAGCAAGCTGAATTGAAAATTACTGATATAAAAATTGCACAGTTCTGGTGAATGGAGGGGAAAGCTTTATTGAACATTTCTGGTAGAAAAACTACGACGTTTTGGTGAATTAACGGACAATTAAGGACAGTTCCAAAAGAAAAGATTTCTGGGGATGATTTCATGAAAATTCTGCGAATAATTTCTAGCGAATCCTGCAGATAGTTCCAACATAATTTCGAAAAGAATACCGAGAGAATCGAGAATCAAATTTTTAATGAAATTCCAAAGGGGTGTTGAGGAAAATTACAAGGGATTTTTTTTAAGCTCATTCTGGGAAGAATTTCTGGAGAATACAGAGGAAATTCTTCTAAAAGTTTAGGGGAATTTCAGTACCAAGGTGTTCTTAGAAAAAAAAAACTAAAATATTCAGAGCAGAACCTCAAGGATATTGAATTCATAGGACAGTTCCATAATATTTCTGAAGAGAATTCAAAGAAAATTCTACGGATAATTTCTAGTGCATCCTGCAGATAGTTCCAAGATAATAGTTCAATCCTTCGCACAATTCGTCATTCCGTTAACAATCCTGTACTGAGTTGTCAAAATAGTTTTGTGCGCTTTTGTTCCAATCGTTACATATTTTTAAACTTGTTGAACCTATTAGCCTTGACAGTTTGGTCAAAATTTGAAAAAAAATTAGAACTGAAAATGACCAAGTTGAACGTACTCGCAACGGTAATAGTAAAGTGTAACTACAACAGCATATAATACCCCGTACAGACTATGGCTTACATCATGTAATATAGACTGTCTTCCAATGAGCACTCATACATAAGATTTCCAGTGAAAACTATATGTATGAGTGCTCATTGCAAGACAGCCTATATTACATGATATAAACCATAGTCTGTTCGGGGTATAAGGGCTTACAATACCTTGAAATAGTTAAAAATAACCACCAAGGCACATTGCAGCAAATGTATCATTTCGGTTAAAGCCCTACTATTGCAACCATTTGACGAACTGATCATCATCGACATTGTCGATGGGATTAAATTGCCAATTCCATTGGCTGTCTGAAAGCAGTTTCCATTGAAGAAGATGAACCTCCACCGGAGTAAAAAATAAATAAAATTAGCTAAATTGAACAGTAAGGAAACAGTGGTGAGTGAACAGCATCATCCACCACGCACTTTGCGGTACTCCCTATTCCCAGATTCAATGCACCATAGAAAAAACAATTGCCCCTCCTTCACAAGATTCCTGTGCACGCTAGTGATCGAGTACCACTTGGTTTCACAGCATTCTGCTTTAACCTGAAAAGATATAAAAGAGCTTCAGATGGTTTTGAGCAGGCAGCATAAGCAGCAATAGCAGCAGTAGGAAGGTGGTGGCAGGTTCGGTAGTCCACTCTTCAACCTAACAAGCAACCATGGCAAAGGAGGGAAAGGTCTTGGTAAAGAAGGCGCCAAGCGACATCCCAAGGTTCACCGTCCGGTTTTCCGTGGCGGTGTCAACCGTATCTCCGGTCTGATCTACGAGGTATGCTGAAGATGTTCCTGGGAAATGAGATCTGTGATGCTGTCACCTACACTGAACACGCCAAGCATAAGCGGCCATGGATGTCATCTACGCTTTGAAGCGACAGAAACGCACTCTGTACGGTTTCGGAGATCATCACCAACTTTGGCAGCAAAACGGCCCTTTCAGTGTCAACAAGCTTATTACAGTAAAGAGTTGTAATAGAATTTATCCTTTTTTGTTTGTCCATATTCAGAACCACACGCCCCCAACGACCACAAAAAATGCTCTCCATAGTTGTAATCTTGTAACCAAACTTAGAGGCAGGGGTGCAAGTGATTTTGATCGATGCTCTTCATCAACTTTCTCTTTGAAAAAAAAAATACTACTAAATTGGTACGCCTACAATTCAAAAACGGAAGATAGGATCGATCAATTAAAAGAGCTAAATGCTCTTCGCATTTGTTACGTCCACTAGCGGTCCTACGTCAAGCTTCCGTACGTGACCCTGGACACAGACCCTTATACTTTTTTTATATGATCGTTGTACAAGTAGCATTCGTGAAAAAAAAAATCTAGCATTTTATATTCGCTTATCTAGATGGTACATATACGAAAATCAGGTCGTGCGTTGTGAGATGGCCATCATTCACGAACCATTTAAATGCATTGTTAAGACGGTTGGAAGTACGTTATGAAACTAGTCTCAACTGATGAAAAGACTCAGTATTTGCAGTTTTTAGAGTCCTTCCTTAGATTAGCTAGCGGAATCTTGTGAAATGCTTACTCCATCCAGAGGAACTTCTATATGTCGCCGACTTCTATCTTGGCATCCATAGCTCTCCTTGCTGTTATTTTCTAACAATTTCTTGCGTTCACAGGTATGCATTACCTTTACCCGTTAGTATGTAATCTATGTAATCCTAAAGCACGGCTTTTACAAACACATCAGAAACCATCCACCACAATCATCTTGATCCGTATGGACTATTGCGAAATTTGGCTGACAAACATAACATCACGTCACATCAGGGAACTTCTTAGAAGTCAAGAGCCATTCATTAGATTTCAGAGAACTTCATGGAAATTCGTGAAACTTCGTAAAAGTCCAGGGACTGTTATAGACCTTCAGGATACTTCGTAGAATTTTTGACAACTTCATGGAAGCAAGGTTACCGATATTCGCATCATTTCTCTCATATTCGTTTATCGTGTGCGACGGTACCCGAGGCATCGGTATCTCAGCAAAACGCTTGAATGATGTGGATGCCCACATAAAAGCAAATCGTAGAGAATGCTCGGTGAGAGAGGAGTGTGAGTACCGATGCACCACTCAAATATTCGTGCTGCGTGCTCTTCTTCTCTTCGTCGTCCGCATCGCGAGCGGTGGAGAGCGTTCTTCGTATGCTTTAGTCTACATGACGATGCGAATGGTTTTTCGCATCAACGCGATGCTCATGCTTTGATCCTCACGAAGTATATGCAGGATAAATTTTCAGACTATTACTGGGAAGTGTACGGAAAGTAATCTCATAAAAGTTGTGCAACAGCCAGGAAAATTAAACGCGTAAAAACAAATCGTGATAGTTGAAAAATGCACGCATAGAAATTCGTTTAAAATAAAACCGCGAGGACCTCGGTGCGGACAGTTGCATAGTTACATAGTTTTTGAATGCTATCCGTTCCGTCATATTTAATATGCTCTAATGATATCGCACGAAGCATATTGGCGCTGATAACGCTAGGCGCCTAATACAAAGGTGACACAGTAGGAAGAAGTGTTAGTTTGTTTACTAAAATGAACTATGCCCATTATGTTATGGCAAGTTTTGCTATAAGAAATGCTCCTCGTGTTTATTAGCGAAATTCACATCAAATGTTGTTTAATTGCGTAGGAAATCAGTTTGGAACGGCATTTGTGACCAGCGTACACCTTCCGGTCATATAAAACAGGTTAAAAACCGTCCAAATTCACCAAAAAAAATTTTGTTTTGAATTTCTGTATGGCAAAATAGTGAACTTTTCGTGAACATTAACGGCAAAGAACTCACCAACACTGCGAGACCGTGAGTTCCCGCCCATATGTCATAAAAACATCTAGCTGAAAACGACTCTCCGAGATGCGAGATGGTAAATGACAGGTGGGCAGGAACTCACGGTCTCCCAGTGTGGGTGAGTTCTTTGCCGTTAATGTTCACGAAAAGTTCACTATTTTGCCATACAGAAATTCAAAACAAAAATTTTTATCTACGGATTTGGACAGTTTTTGACCTGTTTCATACGACCGGAAGGTGTATGCTGGTCACAAATGCCGTGCCAAACTGATTTCCTACGCAATTAATCAATCTTTGATGTGAATTTCGCTAATAATCACGAGGAGCATTTCTTATAGCAAATATGCCATAACAAAATCGGCATGGTTCATTTTAGTAAACAAACTAACACTTCTTCCGACTGTGTCACCTCTGTTACTCGCTCAGCAATGGGTGCATGTGTTCACTCAGCGAATGAAGGGAAGTTGGGAGAAACAAAATAACATGAATTGCTTCGTCAATATAAGCGATCGCACTCGAAGAATGAACTGCACATGCATTGCTGCTGTTCTTCTACCGCGATGGGAAAATAGTCCGACCATCGCTTCAGTATGATAATCAGTAACCTTGCATGGAAGTTTAGGGAACTACGTTGAAATTACGGAATTTTTTTAGAAGTGCAGCAAATAGGAGTTCAGTTAACTTTAGGAGTTCAGTTAACTTTAATTTCATCGAACTTCGTAAAATTTCAGCAACTTTGTCGATGTATAGGGGACAGCGTAGCAATTCAGGAAATTTAAGATAAAATTGGAGAAATTCACAAAGCTTCAAAGAATTTCGTATAAATTTAGAGAGCTTTGCTAAAATTTCGGAAAAAAAACTTCATAGAAGTGGGAACTACTGTTTTGGGAACTTTGTTGAAGTTTGGAGAACCTTGTTTTATTTTAATAAACTTCATAAAAGTGTTCCTGAACCTACTCTTAACATCAGGGCACTTCGTTAATGGTGTTTGTTAGTTTATGAAATGCCGTAGAAGTTCAGAAAACTTTGCAGAACTTCACGAAACTTCGCATAAAATCATCGAAAACCCTAAAGTTGAAGAAATTTTACATGCAGGGAATTTTGTAGAAGTTTATTACAGGGATTTTTTTTTGTAAAAATCAGGAAACTTCAAAAATTTCGGCAAACTTTCTAGAAATTCAGCAAAATTTGTGAAAGTTTGATAAAATTTGTAGATGTTTAAAAAATTTCGTAGAAGCTCAGGAAATTTTGTATCAATTTAGGAACCTGTTAAACTTTGGGAGCTTTGTTTCGTGTTGGAAAATTCCTAGAAAATGTTAAGGTTCTTTTCGGAAGTCGGGAGAAGTTGTTGGATGTTATGAGATCGAAAAAAAAAAAATTATGAATTTTAATAAGTTCAGAGAACTTTGTAGAAGCTCAGAAATATTATTACAAGTAAAGGGAACTTCGTAGATGATTACAGAACATTGAATGAATTATTTGAAATTCGTACAAGTTCAGCAGTAATTAAAGGGTGATACGGTCAAAATTTGGTCAATATCAACTTGACGTATTTCTTTCAATTTTGCATTTAAAAAACCTGAACACCCCTCATTTTGAAGGTGTGTGTGTGTAGAATGTTCCTCCTATTTTGATTTTGGAATTCACTCTTCAGTTGTCAAAATGCCGTCCAAGCAAGAAGAGCAGCGTATCAAAGTTTTGCTCGCGCATCGCGAAAATCCGAGCTACTCGCACGCAAAGTTGGCAAAATCGCTAAAAGTTGCCAAATCAACCGTTACAAATGTAATTAAAGTGTTTGGGGAACGTTTGTCGACAGCCAGGAAGTCTGGATCGGGGAGAAATCGAAAACCGGAAGCCGCTGAGACGACAAAGAGAGTTGCCCGTAGTTTCAAGCGAAACCCTAACCTCTCTCTCCGAGATGCCGCAAATAAGCTGGGTGTATCGTCTACAACCGTGCATCGAGCCAAAAAACGAGCCGGACTATCGACTTACAAGAAGGTAGTGACTCCAAATCGCGATGATAAACAAAATACGACGGCCAAAGCGCGATCCCGGAAGCTGTAACGACGATGCTGACGAAGTTTGACTGCGTGGTAATGGACGACGAAACCTACGTCAAAGCCGACTACAAGCAGCTTCCGGGACAGGAGTTTTATACGGCAAAAGGAAGGGGAAAGGTAGCAGATGTTTTCAAGCACATTAAACTGTCAAAGTTCGCAAAGAAATATCTGGTTTGGCAAGCCATCTGTACCTGTGGCTTGAAAAGCAGCATTTTCATAGCTTCCGGGACTGTCAACCAAGAAATTTACGTGAAAGAGTGTTTGAATAAACGTCTGCTGCCTTTCCTGAAGAAACACGGTTGTTCCGTACTGTTTTGGCCGGATTTGGCATCTTGCCATTACGGTAAAAAGGCCATGGAGTGGTACGCCGCCAACAACGTGCAGGTGGTTCCCAAGGACAAGAACCCTCCCAACACGCCAGAGCTCCGCCCAATTGAGAAATACTGGGCTATTGTCAAGCGGAACCTAAAGAAGACCAAAAAACTGCTAAGGGCGAGCAGCAGTTCAAGGCAAACTGGCTTTCTGCGGCGAAGAAGGTGGACAAGGTGGCTGTACAAAATCTGATGGCAGGGGTCAAGCGTAAGGCCCGGCAATTCGGATTTGGAAAAGCGGAGGCCTAACTGAATATTTTTCCTGAATTTTATACTAATTGAACTTGAAAAATAAATTTAATTTGATTTTTTAAATAAACGATTTCACCGATTTACACGCGTTTTCCCTTGACCAAATTTTGACCGTATCACCCTTTAAAAGTTTTAAACTATGGAAAAATCTTTGAAGTACTGAGAACTTCGTAGAAGTTGACGGAAAATCCCACGAGCTCGCAAGCATTTCACTTATTCAGGGAACTTCATAAAGACTTTGGATACATGGAACTGAGTTAAAGCTCAAGAAACTTCTTGAAAGTACAGGAATCTTCGTATAAAATCAGGTAGCGTCGTGAAATGTTAGATAGCTTTGTTGATATTCATGGTTTTTCGATGAAATATCAATAAAGTTCTTTGGATATTATTCAAGACTTTTCAAGTTAATCATGTAATGTTCTGAAGATCTGCAACTGTTCAAACATTCAAATGCCTTTTTTCAGACATCCTTCGAAGACGGATGTTTTATTAGAGAATATTTAAAGGATATACAGGTGGTTGGAGATTCAAAGACCTCTGGATGTTTTGCAAGCCTTTAGGTTGATCAATTTTTATTCTTAAGATATTCAACTGATAATAAAATTCAAATGACTTCTCCAGATAGTCTCTCAAGCTTACTTGTTGATCAGATATAAGTGGATTCATGTTGATCAAGAAATCCGAAGATTTTAAACATTCAATTGGCTCTCTCGGTCAGGAAGTACTTAAAAAATCTCCAGCTGATCGAAAATTTCATTAAAGTCTTCTGGATATTTTTCAAAGCTTCAGGTTGATCAAGTATTACTGTGAAGATATTCAGATATTCTACCAAAACTGCACGTTGATCAGGAAGTATTCAAAAGATCTCCAGCTAATCAAAGATTTCAGTGAAGTCCTGTGAATATTCAAGAGGATCAAGTTTTATTCTGAAATATCCGATTTTGGTTACATTATTCATATTCGACATATTCAGGAAGAAGCTTAAAATATGAAGACATTGTTAGCTGAATGTTGGTAGTTTTTTTTAACAGGATTCCAGAAATATACTGATTTTCCGCAATTCTTGGTTGTACGAACCGTTGGCAAAACTTTAAAGTGTGTATAAATAACGAAGTTCCTCAAAATAGTAATGCGAGTTTTACGCAATTTTTCGCAGTACATATTTTGTTTAACTTAGCAATAGCGAAGTCACGTTGCAATCTACTGAACAACTGCGAATTCGAACGGTTTTTTTTTTTTTTTAATTGAAGTCACCCCGCAATACTCACATTGAAATCGTCGTAGTAGCTTTGACGCCTCCATGGGGCAAAGCGCTTCTTGCGGTATGCCCCGTAGCTGGCCTCCTCGTATGTTTTCAGATCATCAAACACCTTACCGGTTGTAAGGTCGTTTCCACTCTTCAGCAACAGCACGCTCTGATCTACGCCAAGCAAACCAACATACGAGTCCGGATTTGTGCTGATTGTAATATCCACATCCTGCCCGGGTTTGGATTCCGTCTTTGACAGCGACACTTTCAGCTGTGGATAAACAATCGATTGTTAGGCAAATCTCCAAACTACATCCAGATCAGTGAAGCAGCACTCACGAAGTTTTGCAACTCGCTGGCAAATTCGATTTCAACGTAATCACTAATCATCTGCCCATCGGTGTGGATGAAATAGATAATCAAGCGAGCTCTCGGTACCATTGCGAAACTGGCTGGGAAACGGAACGTATGACTCATACGATCAGGAACCGGAATAGTTCCGCCAACAATGACATCCCCGCGACCAAGAACCTGATAATTGATATACTTCATTGGAACCGTAGAGGAGACGTCAACCGTAACGTCCTTGTTGATGGTTGGACTGCGAAAGTATCAAAGAAAAATTGTCTAAATACCAGTTCTGTTACTCTATCCAGCGATACTTACATCTCTGTTAAAACCTTAGCCCGAACGTAAGCCTTGTACTTGACCCAGCCCTGCGAGATCGAACCCAGGTAAAATGTAGCTCCTAGATATTCAGCACGAAAACTGATAGAGTCCGACGAAGTTTCAGTGTCGATAATCAGCTTGGCCATGCCATTCTTATCTAACTTGTAAGTGTGTTCCGAGGTGTTACGATTTGGCCAACCGAATTCCTGGACCACCTTCACCTGGTTAGTATCATCTTGAACAGGCGCCCCATCCTGGTAGGTAGCCTTGAGCCATGCCGTGTACGGCAGTCCAGGTTTGAACTTCTCCGAACTCTTAACCAACTCCATATTGTATGCTCTATCGTAAATCTTAACCTTCGAGGATGCATTCTGCTTACGGCCGGTTAACTCTTCCTCCACAACCGCTTCGATCACAATGCTTCTAGTGTAGTCTCCTTGTAGTTTGATCTCGTCGCGAAGATCAAATTCCACCGATCCTTTGCCATCGATGGGGACAGTCTTTCTCGTGATCACATCACGCTCGAACGGTTGCACATAATGGAAACGGAAGTCCGGGTATGCCGAAACGGTAGCTTCGCCCTTCACCGGCTTTCCGTAGGTGTATTTCGCCCGTACGATCGCCTTGACCTTTCCGTCCTTCAGCGTAGTTATACCAGGTGACTCAACACTCACTTCAAACTTGGGCAGCACATACTCGTCCACTTCAAATGCTTGTGTTTGTTTCTGGAAATAAGTGATTGAAAATTAGCATCGCTAAATTTAGACAAAAAAGACTTCATCAGTCCTTACCGTTCCCAAGGCGTCAATATGGATCATCCAGTTGCCCAGCACTGGTGCACTGGATAGAGCAAGCTCCGACTCGAAGACACCCTTGACCAGCTTGGCATCGTTCCACTGCTTGATGCGATTGTTCTTGCCGTCCGTGATGTGCACCTTCACAGTGTCCACCTTTTGCAGGGGCTTCGTGTTGGGATCCAGTACCAATACCCGGAATCGAACGGTATCGCCCGGCTTGTAAATTGCTTTATCTGTCTGCACAAACACCGAGAAGCTTTTCGATTGGAACGTCAAGGTGGATTCGTTCTTGAAAGTGAACCCCGATAACCCCTCGGCGATCAGGCTGTACTCACTGTCTGATATGTCGCCAATCTGTGTGGAAAGTAAGCGAAACCAAAAGAATACATAATTCTATTCTCCATCTGGCGAGAAGCTACGAGTGACTTACGCTAAACGGAATCAACCGGGATTCCCCTTGACCCAGAGAAACATCTTCGCTGGCGAGTGGTACCCCCGTTTGGGTGTTGTTCAACGTGATTCTGAACCGCACCGGCTCACGAACGTCCAGATTACTGACGGACACGTGATATTCTGAGTTTGGTCGCAGCAATTTAGAGCCGATAACGGAGTAATACCTGGAAGAGACAATTTATTGCTATTACTCAAATAGTTATTGTATTTCCAGTCAATAATAACAGCCATGTCAACGGATTCGAGTGAACACAATCATTAATGAATTATAAATTGTGCTCAGAAAATTTCCTGTTCCGTATAATTAGCCGGCTGGTTATTCCGATTGAACGTGTAAAAGATCTGTGGTGTCGATAATGTGAAATGTACATGCAAATATATGTCGGTGAATGCCACTGTATAATATGTAATCATAATCATTTTCATCATCTCAATTTAGCTGAATTCTTTCAAAGTCATTTATTTGGTTAAAAATGTAATAATGCAAGGTTGTTGAGTTCTCCACGCTCCCGGATGCGAGAAGCTTCGTCGTTGTCCTGTAATCTACGAAACATACCGTTACGCATGTAGAGGGTATGGAGTACTTAACGATCATTACGCTCCACTTTTACAGTGTGAAATGTTTTAATAGTTGCGCTTTATAATCTCACGGTAATTTGATCCATTGTTAAGGTAATAAAGAAATACGGATGCATGTTTTTCCAATGTTGGGGGCACAGATAGGCTAGTCAGTCAAGGCATGGTATTATCAAGTCAAAGATAGCGGGTTCGATTCCCGGTCCCGGTTTAGAATACCTTTCGGAACGAAAATATTCTCTGGACATTGAGACATCATATACATTGTGGCCATTGTGGTTTAAACTCATGCGTTGGATGCCATGGAAAGCTGTTACTACAAAATCTTCCATCACCCCCTCCCCTTCCTCCAACCTTCGACAATGGAATGGCAACACACTGCCTATCCTTAACAAAAAAAGCTAATCAATGTTCCACAAAACACAAAATTTTGACACTGTTGTTAACAAACTTTTGATTCTCGCACATTCTCAGGTTAAGCTCTGGATCAAGTTTTGAGTGTATTCTAACAAGCCTGCCCAACTTGCCCCATTTGGAAATATAGCTATTTGATAATTTTCGGTCACTATGGGAGATTTCAAGTCATTCAAGCATGCGCAATCTGAAAAAAAATGTTCAACGATTGTTTTGCGGCAGTGTTATGTAGTTGGTATAAGAGAGATCGAAGTAGGCTCTGCTAGTGGACGGTTCAGATTTCTTGCGCTGTCAATCTTTTGCATTAACTTCAAACGAACATTTTCCTTTTGGCCAGTGTGAAAAGTGATTGGCCGTTACGATGACAAATAACTTTATCCTTCGACTCGTTTTGCAAGCCGCGAAGTGATTTTTTTTTTATTCAAATGAGTAGAGGTGGTTGAACTACAGTTAGTTCTGATTGGCAAACGCGGTAAGAAGAAAACATAAGAGAACTAAGATCCGTGTACGGCGTTTGTTGCGATGAAGACGATGCGTCTGGCGGAGACCAACAGACAGCAGCTAAACGGATACTGAAGAAAATCGTGGAATAGAGAAATCCGGAAAATTTGATGATCACATTCAAGCAGACCAGTTTTGGTGACATCATTCCATTTTTATCTATAAATCAGGAATTTTGGGAACATTTGAGGCTTCGCTAATTATACTATATAAACAATTATATGAAGCATTAATTACACTACATATGATTGTTAAATAAAACTCTTACATAACTCGGAGCGTTTGGTACGGTATGTCCACGCATCTTTCCACCCCTGTAGATTCACGAAATGCATTGCTGTTTAAATGCTTCGAATTCGGGAGCTCCCGGACTCCATTATCGACCCAATTATCGAATTTACCGGTAATGATATTCGTGAGCTCCCGAATTCGTAACCAAAGAGATCAAATTGACATACATTATCTTCAACGTCCACACATTTTAAACTATATTTGATTTTAAATAATTAGACTACAGTAGCAAAATTGTTGATAGACAACCCCTAGTATGGGTTTTTACCACATTTATAACAAGTTCTGATGCCCAGTTATCAAGGTTTGACAGCTGAATAATGAAATGAAAATCATCCCTATCAGTGGTTTTCAATCTTTTTTGTTCCATGCACTCTTTTCACCCTTTTGCGTGAGATATTTAGAGCATTTAGGTTGCTGATGAAGCAACATAATATAAGGTACCGCAAGTTTAAACATGCGGGGAAGTTGAAACGGCAGGTGTTCCTCTTAGCGGAAATGAATAATCCCTGTTATTAGTTTTAATCTGCTGGTGCACAATGCCACTCGCAAATAATCACAGTGAATATTCACTTCCGCTTATAGATACGCTATCCGTTTCAACTTGCCCCGGTCTATCTTTTTCTCGTAATCATAGAAGGGAATTATTTTGTGCTGAATCCAATATACCGTCATAAATTTGGTGAAAAAATATCAATAACTTAAAGTAACATGTTATATTTTCTCAACCGCAATTTCAGCCCCTAGCATGAAAGAATTTCTTCCTAAGCACAGTGGTTTAAAAGCGCTAAAACGTGCGATATATGATTTACACGAAAAAATAATCCGTTTGGAGAAGTTTGTTTACTTGATTAGCTCATTATTTTTAACTTAACTTTAGCATGATTAATCTACCTTGCAAAGAGGTGGAATTTTGTTTTAAGTCGAGATAGCAGAATGGTGTCACCGGCAAAGTTTTAGATTCTATTAAATCAAGCTTTTTTTGTAGACACACCAATCTCTAACTCTTACAATTTTTGAGATATGTAACGTTTTAGTATGTAGTTGTTTTGTCAATAACTTTTCTTGAATCCATTACCCTTCGTCTGTCGTACAAACTTGTTTGTAATCTTTAAGAGCCATTTTGTCTTGGACGTAAGTTTCTATCCTTTTATATTTTATAAGTTATTAATTGTTTTGACCCAAAAATAGCACTTTTCCCAAGACCTACATCTTTAAGTCGGACAGAATTGGACAACGCACACTAATTACATCTGAAAGAAGAACTAAAGCGCTGTCCAAGCCATAAAAAATCATTGGTTTTAGTTTGCACTGTATTTAATAAAAGATTAAAATTACATTTAAAATGACCCTATAGCTGATTTTGATAATTTATTAATGTTGATCTAGCGGTGCGATAATGCTGATTGCTTGGAGAATTTTTAATTTTATACTTTTCCATGAAATGTTGAATTCTGGCCCTTATTTTTTAACAATTGATAGCAGGGTTGCTTCCACTCACTTGCTATAAAAACATATTTTTCGGAATTATGCAATCATTAGATGATATAATGATATGCTGTACTTGTAAGTAACGAGAAGAGGGTGTAAAGTATGTGTTTGACTCATAAAACCTGTCAATTTCGCTTTCAGAGCGTCACAATAAGCGATCTTATGATTCATGAGCGTTCACTCAGAGTGAGCACTCACGAGTCGTAAAATCGCTGATTGTGACGCGCTGAAAGCAATATTGACAGATTTTATGTGTCAAACACATACTTCACGTCCTCATCTTGTAACTTACAAGTACTAATTATCACTCATGATTTCATAATTCTGAAAATCATTTTTTTTATAGCAAGTGAGTAGAAGCTTCGCTGTTGCTGAAAACGCATCGGCTCACCAAGAACATGAGTTTGAGTGCACTATAGTGAGAGCACTTTGTTTATAGTTAGGGAGATAGCGTGCTTTGATTACAACCTAAAGATACTGAAACAAGAGAAGTGATATGAGAATTAGAAGCAAAAGTACGGGCGTAGTGAATAAGTAACTAAATAATTGCGTTACTTATTCGCTATCAATAATCACCGAAGCTATGAGTTGATTTAAATCATAATGATTTGACCTAGAGCTTAATAAATTTGATAGCCTTACAGCGTTGGGGGGGAGAAAATTGCGCGTTTTATTGTTTATCCCGCTAGAAGAATCGATGCCCGTATCATCGAAGCTTCTATTTTCAATACTTGCCATAGTGAATATTCTTTATTAAATGAGCTTTTCACAACAACAATTTTGAAAATAAGAATGCTATTTGTGTGCTGAGACTTTTAGTATTCTTCTTCACTTCTTATGCGATAATTTTTCCAGCTCTAAACTTAATTCCACTTAGCATTTTGTATCCATGACTACGAACTACGGGTAAAGGGGTGGAAACCAAAGTTTGTCTATTTCGTGGTGGAGAAAGTTTCCTTTACCAACGATGAATTTTTGAATCCATAATGGAATGGCTGATCATGGCTATTCAGCATGGAAATGTAAACGATTGAATTATATATCTAGCTTAAAGTTTTTGCAAGTCATACTAGTATTGCATTGTTGTCCTCTGACCGCTGTATGTTTTACAGCCAATTTTCAAATGAAATTCATGCTTTATTTCGATGACAGTCATATGGATACTCATCATCTGATGGCGGATTCAACCAAAAGACAATTATCCGAAATTCGAAAGCATATTGTTAAAGGGCTCGAGCAATGCAATAATCATTCGAAATATTGCGGATGTTTTCGGTGCATGGAGCTGCCGATATTGAAAAATTGAACAGCATCACACTTAGAAATATCCAATTTTACACATACCGGAATCTGTCTTCAACATAGATCACGAAAAAAAAGCAAACATTTAATGTAAAATTAAGTGCTCCGAGACTAAAAAGATCGATTCTCGACGAAAAGTACGGTATGACTCAATTTTTTAAGTTAAATTAGCAGTTCCACGCCAACGACGAATCATTGTTTAAAATTTTCGTCAATTTAAAGAGTTCAACTTGATAATTTTGACCTCCTTTAGCTCAGTCGGTAAAGGCGCAGCTACAAAGCAAGACCATGCGGGAGGTGGCTGTGTTCAATTCCTGGCCGGTCGACGAATTATTCGGGTTGGAAAATTTCTCGAATTCCCTGGGCATAGCGTATGATTGTACTTACCACACAATTATACCAACAATCAATACGAAACTAACGATTTTTAATTGGCTCACTACTTGACTAGCCTATTGGTCCCAAGCAAACAATTAACGTACCCCATTCTAGTCGAAATTCTAGTACTACGCAATGTTTGTTTTGATTCGCTATGAAAGTTTGACAGATAAAATGAGAGGTTATTGGTTTTTCCTCTGTTTCGAGGGGT